ACGGCGTGCCAACTTTTTTCATATTCCAATTAGAATATTTTTCATTGATTTAATGCCGGCAAGCGCAAATATTAACGGCTTAACACCACGATAAATTTACACTGCCAATGTCTCCTCTCTCTTTCTCTCGCTCCTTTTCCTCCGCTCTTCCCCCTCCCTCTCGTCGTTTCTCGTTTCTGGAGGTGGAGAGAGGTTGTAAGGATTACTCTTTCTTCCTCTTTCTCTCGCTGTGAAACGCTAACTTTATGACTCACGAGAACTCCCGTAACATTAATCACAAGGCTATTCGTATTCGAAATCGATACGGGTTACGAAAATGCTTCGAGCCCGCTCTTTTTTCCGAACTTTATGGAGCTTCCGGTTCTTCGTGTATGTAAATATAATATCTCTTGATTTGTTAATTCTTGGATACGGAGGATGTTTCCTTGATTTCTGTTCTTTTTTTTTTTTATTTTCGATGAATTTTTGTTGATGAATATTGTTCATTTTTTTACTTTTGAGATGTATGTCTAATTATCTGTATGTATGAGAAAATAATATATAATATATTCGAATAGAAATAAAATTTATACATGCTTTTAAGCTCTAAGTTAATAATAAATATTAGATATTTATGAGCATGCTATTCCTAAATAATTTTCTTAATTTCAAAATCTTAAAAAAAAAAAAAAAAAAAAGAAATAAAAATTTAAGCATTATTATATTTATTTATATTACATTCTTATATTATACTTTTATTAAAAAATTAAGTTTCTTCATAAATTCCTTGGAAGGATATTTTTATATTTTAAAGGAAATTATAATATATAATACAATATTTTGAAAGTATGTGATAATTTGAAATTTTTAAAGACTTTTTTCCTCTCCGATTAGTATTCATCGGTGTTATCTTGGAGGCAGTTGGACTTAATCGATGGTAAATGTGTTAAAAATTACGTCATTCAAGTGTCTTCCTTTATGATTGATGCGTTCCCTGCAACGCATCCGTACATCGTTCATTACGATCCCTTGCATGTTATCAATGCTCCTGATGGCCTTGGTGATTTTCATCTTTAATTTACTTATCCATATGCTCTTCATCGATCTTCGTGAAAGATTAATTAAAAACGCGTATATTATCTGTTAAAATACTGGAATATTAAACTTTTCATGATGAAGCATTTGCTCTAAGAATATATATTATCAAATGTTTTCTTAAGTTTCAATCATTTTCTTGACTGAGATTTTAATTATATCGTGCACATTTTCTTCGAAAAATTTTTCAACAATTTTGTTATTTTAATATCTCTAAGAATCCAATAATTTTATCGTTTTAAATTTCTAAACATCATTTATCATTTATCATTTTAGAAAAATCTATTCCATTATTTTTGAATCTATCTAATTTTTTCATTGCATGCAATTGGTCGTTTCTTTGTTAATTGCATATGCACAAGATTATCATTTATTTATTTATAATAATAATGGTAATTACCATTTTGTATTCTAGATACTTTTTAATGAATAATTTAAAACGAAAAAGAAAAAAAAAAAAAAGAAAAACACCAAGATACTTCAAATATCTTAAAACATGGGCGATGAAAGATTAACACAAGGTGATTTTTTTTTTTTTATAATTACCGTAATACGTGTTCCATTTATTAAATTGGAGATATAATACACAAGCGATAGATAACACGTATGTATAATTTATACAATATTTTATACAGATTGTCTCTACCTCGTTCGTTCAGCAATTTATCTAAATACTGTACACGTTAAACGCTCGAGTAATTGGTACGTCTAGTATACCCGCCATTTTCGATCATTACACATTTCGTATTTATTCCGTTTCAAAACTTGTTAATCAATCAATCACAACTTTTCAACTGAAAAATCTCATTCTCGCAATATATCGACAATGGTAACCGCGCTAAAAAAAAGAATGCGCGCTGGATTCGGGTATCGAGAGGATCTTGCAAGTGACTTCCGCTTCCTCTTCTTCAGCTGCACGCTTCCTGCGATTATACATTATACGTGTACGATCTACGATCCTATATTTTTTTCATTTTTTTGCCTTCTTCGAGTTTAATGGGGAACACCTACTCGTTGGATGATTTTTGGGCGATTCGACAATAATTTTTAAGGGTACGATGATCATTTTGAACACGGAAGCGGTTTTATGACAGATATTTATATTAAATATCTAGGATCGAACGCTCAAATTTTCTAATCCGAATTCTTAATTATCAAAAAAAAAAAAAAA